GAGTTATCATTCTTGTGCACTGCACACCTCCTGAGTGAGATCTATGCACCTATGAAGTTTCATGTTGATATCTCATAGGCTTTTGGAGTTAGGCTCTGGACAAAAATCAATTTTGAAAAAACAACAAAGGCAATAACTAAAAAATTATGCAGGGTAGAGTTATCATTCTTGTGCACTGCACTCCTCCTCAATGAGGTCTATCCACCTATGAAGTTTCAAGTTGATTACTCAAATACTTTTAGAGATATGCTCCGGACAAAAATGTCGGACGGAAGGACGGACGGAAGGACGGAAGGTCGGACGGACGGACGGAGACTATTTCTATATCCCCCGCCGAATTTTCGGCGTGGGATAATAATCACAACCAAACTGGATAAGGATAACCCAAAACCAAGCTTGGCACCAATCTTCTTAAATTTTCTTAAAGTGAGGTTTGTGGTCTTTGAACAAACTAATGAATAGAAGAAAAGTTTTACAGATTTGTGAGCATCTTAATTGGATAAAACTTAATGAACTACAACTTAAGGGTGTTTACAATACGTTTACTCCTAAATGTTTAAAACTAGAAGGAGTTTTTGTCACAAAAACATATCTCTCCCAAAACAAGGTATGGTACTGATCACTTCTGTGAATTTGGGCAACATCCCACCAGCAGGTTGACCTTTGAAAGCCGAACAAGATTTTTCTTTTTTGTTGCTCTGCCTGCCAGTTTGTGCAGCAAAGTTGAACATGACGGTGAAATGCACATCTAGGGATGGTACTGATCACACCTGTGAAGTTCATTGAAATCAAACCAGCAGTTTGACCTGTGAAAGCCAGACAAGACTTTTCTATTTATAGCTCTGGTTGCCATTCTGTGCAGTGAAGCAGAACGTGCTCGATATATGAACATCTAGGGATGCTACTGATCACACCTGTGTAGTTTCATTACATGCAGTTCAACCTGTGAAAGCTGGACAAGATTTTTCTATTTTCAGCTCTGACGGTCATTTTGTGCAGCACAGCGGAATGTGCCAGCGATATGCACACCTAGGGTTTGTACTGATCACTCCTGTGAAGTTTAATTGAAATTTCCCCAGCAGTTAGACCTGTGAAAGCTAGACAAGCTGAATGCAGATGGAGTGGACACAGAAGATGGAACACCCCAAAGGAAAAAAACTTGTCTCCTTTAAAAAATTTTGGGGGACAAAAATGAATTTAAAAAAAATAAAATTTTTTCTTACTTAAACTCCTTTCACATGATGCCCGATTTTAAATTTTTGGGATCCCGGAAACTTTTACAACATTTTCAGTTTCTGGTTTCACATTGGCATTTTTTTTCTCATCATTTACAACTTCTCTTTTACTGGTTTCAACACCATCACAGCTCTTATCACTGTTCGTATTATCACAGACTTTGTCATCCATATCAACTTCAGTTTTAACACTTTTTTCACAACTGTCTGATTCATTTGTATCTTCTGACTTAACTTTAGTACTGGCACTATTATCTGTATTTTCCTCATTCTTTGAGACATTTTTGGCATTTTCTCTATCAGTATCATCATTGTTATCATTATTTGTTTGCTCATCATCAGAGTCTACTTCATTATCACTAATGGTTTCCATGGTGATTTCACTCTCTGCTACAGAAGAATCAGCCACTGAGATCTCATCATCTTCGGCTGTTCTAACTTTACGTTCTCCGGCGTGACGTGGTATACTGCCTTCCTCCAACTACCAATAAAAGATTGTATTACATTACTGTCCTGAATATAAGCATTTTATAAGGCAGTAGACTGGGGCTTACAGATCATCTAAATTTATATGTTTAACAGCTATATCAACAAAAGCAACCATAAATCAACAAATTTACTAAATCAATAATTTAGATTGGAGATTCCCAAAGTGCATTTTTTAAGCCATGAGCGGGCACGTGTGTATAACTGCCAACATTCCAGGAGCTAGCTGGATAGCTTCCTCACATGAAAGAGGGGGGGATTCAGACACAAAAGCTTACTCTGCCATGGATGCCTCTTCAACTAGAATAGAGTAAAATACTTTTTTAGGCTTTTGTCCCCAATTTAAGTTTACAATGGCTTGTAACATGTTGCAATTTGTTTTTTAAAACATTAAGTTTCCATTAGTACCAACTTATCATTTTTAACTTGAAAAAAGCTGTCAGGGAAAGTGTCAATGCTAAATATGGAACATAATTTTGTTTCTTGTATGTACGAAAAAAGCTGTCAGGGAAAGTGTCAATGCTAAATATGGAACATAATTTTGTTTCTTGTATGTACCTACATTCTATAGTTAACTGGCTTAACATTTAAGCCACTCCTTCCATTTCAAGTTTTTATTGTTTGTCTATTTTGCGTCACCATTCAGTACCATCTTATTTGTTATTTAGAAAACCAAAACACAACATTTGATTGTACTCAATTTCAAGAAATTTTTTATTAACAACAAAATGTCCCATTCAAAATGATAAGTAAATAGGAAAATAGGTTTACATGTACCTTGAAAAGAAGTCCAAATCCATAGATCAGGTATGATGGTGGCAAATAGTTTTTCTTTCCTTAAAATAAAACACATTTAACGCTGAATGTCTCAAGATTAGTCGAAATAGTCCGAAAAAATTAAACTTGAGAAAAATGTACTAAGATTTTAAGAAAAGTAAAAGGATTTAAAAGTCAAGTAATAATTTATATGATATGCTTGATTAAGGACTGATTATGCAGTATTTATCACCATATTTCTACTGTGTTACAAACGCAGTAAGGGCTATATTTTGCTTATTTTGCATTCTTTTTGGTAATATACTTTGATTGTAAGTGCTGTTTCAATGTGTAAATGATTTTCTTTGTTGTTCAATCAGATTCAAAAAAATATACCTATCCTTTTTTAAGTAGAAAACAAGCATTTTGAAATTCTTGCCTATTAACATAGAACAAGGCAGTCTAAAAAAACAGCTAAATCCCCTTCCGCAGTGGACATGAATGTGTACTTCTTGACCTTTAACCAATCATGACCTTGATGTTGTGCCATGCATATCATAAGCACATAGGCTCATCATGGTGATTATTTGTGTCAATTTATTTAAAATCTTCCAAATCATAAAGCAACAATCTTGCAAATAATTTAAAGACTATTACTGTGAAAAAATCATAGTCAAAAGAATGTCATATTTTTCATTTACCTACCTCTTATCATGAAACTACCAGTGGTGAGATACTCCCCAGAGGGGCAGTCTTTGATACCTGACTAGGATACACCCACCAGGCACTGGTTACCACTTTAGCATCCCAGGCTGCACTGTTACATATAGCCATGGTTCCCGCTTCATTCAGAGTCTTTGGTGGTATTGGTTCCCCAGTGTTATTCTTGATAATCACACTGCTAGCACCATGAAGGTCAGCATGCACATACACATCTCCTATAAAAAAATATTTTGAAATAATTGAAATAGATCTATTCACAAGTTTACAAGTCTCTGGCATGCTATACTTTTAAGTCCCTGCAATGTTTATACTTTAAAGTATAATGTCATGGAATGTTATACATTAAGTCTTTGGCAATTGCCATGCTTTTAAGCCTCTGGTCCATTCATTGCTTACTTCTAGGTCTCTGGAATGTTATACTTTTTTGTCTCTAGAATGACTAAATGCTATATTCTATGTCTCTGGAATGCTTTTATATTAAGTCTCTGGAATGCTTCACTTCTGAGTCTCTAGGATGCATTACTTTACGTCTCTGAATATATTGCTATACTTAAAGTATCTGGAATGCTTATACTTTAAGTTTCTGTAATGGTTTACTTTAAGTTTCTGCAATATTATACTTTTAAGTTACTGAACTGCTATATTTCAATGTGTATTAAGCTATATATCTGCACTTTTCAGTTTACAAAATAATTGTTTGAATTTTGAATAAGGAGATTTTCCAAGATATTTGGCATGAAAGAAAAATGTGGAATTTTTCCTTTAGCGTAAATAGGCAAACATGAAAATTATTGTTAAACTACCAAGTGCAAACCTTGACCCTTGGAGCTTGGGGTCTAGGTCCTGCACATTGCCTCATTGTCTCATCTGCCAAGTTATTTTTAAAATTTTCTCAATGCATGACAGATTTATGGGCTGGACAAGATATTCTAACATCTAACCTTTTATCTCTAAGTCGTCCACTTAAGTACAGTAACAGGTTAACTTTAAATTTTATAGGAGTTAACCCATTACTGCACTAAGGTCACAAAGTGTGACCTTGAACTTGGAGCTAGGGATCTAGGTCATGCCATTAAACAAACCGTCTATCATGCAACACATTTGTGCCAAAATTATTTCAAAATTCCTTGAAGCATGACAGAGTTATTGAGCAGTAACAAGGTTTTCAAAAGGGCATGTAACCTCTTGTCATCATGACATGGGCATAAAAACTAAGTGCCATTTAGGGCATAACCGATGTTTACTCTAAGACCATGGTTTTTTATAACTTTTGTAGTCTAAACAAAACCACATTGTTCACATCTATTTTCCAGATATCAAAAAGTACATGCATCAGCTGTGGAAAAGCAGAATGTCTTTAATTTCAATATCAAGAACTCTTTAAAAGATCTCATTTTCTTCTTTTATCTAGACATGCACTGCTAGATCCAGTATCATACCTTTACATTATAACTGCCTTAGATACATGTATAATCAAGAAAAATCAAAATGAGTGAACTAATATTATATTGATAACAAGAGCATAGATTTTAACTGTAAACATTATCAAACTGGTACAAGCTTATCAAACTATCGTAATGATAAAATTAAACAAAACTTTACTCTCTCATATGATCACTTTATCATGATACATGTATATATGGCCGATATAACAACTTTTCAAAACAATCAGAAAAATCTCTTAAAGAAAACCCTTTCAAAACTCGAATACATTGTACTTTACTTCAAGGAAAGGATACATTAAAAGAAAATTCAGAAAAATCAGGAACTTTCTAAACTTCCTAAAAAAAAGAGAAAGAAATGGCTACTGATGACAGTGCATCAACAACATTTGACTCAGATGAAGTTAAGGAAATGTACTGTGAAGAATGTGAAAAACATGGTGATGGCTATACACCAGCTGTAGCCTTCTGTGTGGATTGTGTGGAATATAAATGTGTGACCTGTCAAAAATATCATAAGAGACAATCGAAAACTCACAAAATTCAAGACAGTGACAGTATGCCACAAGATTTCTATTTTGAGAAGTGTCCCACTCATCCTCAACAGCTGGTCAAGTTTTACTGCTCTGAGTGTAGCAAAGAGGCCTGTCAAGAGTGTAAGGATAATGAGCATGATAAATGTAGTGATGTGAACCATTTACCAACTCTTGCTTCAGGCATACAAAAAAGTAGTGACTTAAAAGATCTTCAACAGAACTTGGATCGATTGTCGGAGGAAATAAAAGACACGGAAAGCTGTTGAAAGCTAAAAGTGAAGTGGTTGATAAACAAGAAGAAAAGGCAACTGAAGCATGCAAGGTGCACGCAGATAGACTTTTAGAAGCCTCCAAACAACAACATCAAGATTTCATTGATGCTTTTGATAAGAAAATGGAAGAGACCATTGCAAGGTTGAAGAAAGAAAGGCTAGAACTAGTTCAAGTTTTGTCTGAAAAGGAGATAAAATTTAAAAACAAGATAACAAAAGCTGAAACAGATGTGAAAAATGAGATTGTTAACACAAACACAGAATTTAAGAAACTCAGGTCAGAACATTTGACTTTGGTTGAAAATTTGAAGGCTCTTAATATTGATCTTGAACAGGCCCAGAAATTAGGTCAAAACTGTGAACTTTTCATTAAATTGAAGTTCATGAAACAACTTTGTGAAAAACTTCATCGAAACATTGAACAAATTCAACAAGCCTACATCCAGCACTACAAACTCAAAACCTCCAACATTCAACCGACAGAACAATCTATAGAGAGTGAAACAAGATTTTTCACATTTAAAGAAGTGCATGCATCAACTGTAGAAAGAAGAGTTGTCTTTAATTTTGATATCAACTCTCACATTGACCTCATATCCTCTTTACTTGTCTTATCTGAACATACACTTCTAATATTAAATTGGAAAGAGTGTAGCCTTGTCATATACAAACTAGAAATGTCACAGGCAAATTGCATGGATGACATAAAATTTGAAACAAGTCCATCATGTATTGCAAAAGTTTCAGATTACAAAGTTGCTGTAACATTTCGGGATAAAAGAATGATCAGAATGATAACATTTTCAGAAGATATGAAAGTTTTAGATATCACTGATATACCAGTAAATGGTACCTGCACTGGTGTTGCCTATAGGAATCCCTATCTTGTAGTTTCATATTGGGATCCAGCTGTTGTTAAGATTCTAAGTATGTCAGGTGAAGTAGTGAAAACATTTGACAAAGATGATGATGGTCAGAAGCTGTTTATTAAACCTTGTTGCTTGATTGTCAGCCCTGACAATACTATGATATATGTTTCTGATCACGACAAACACACTGTGACTTGTTTGAACTATGATGGTAAGGTGAAGGCTGTCTACAAGGATGATCAATTGAGAACACCTCGTCAGCTTGCTGTTGATGAATACGGATCAGTATATGTGTGTGGTTTACACTCTGTAAACATCCATCAATTATCAAGTGACCTCACTAGAGTGAAGATCTTGGTAGATATAAGTCATGGATTAGATCCACCCTGGAGTGTTGCATACTGCCAAAATACCAAAAGATTGTTTGTGGGAATGTCAAACAAAATTAAAGTTTTCCATGTGTTACTAGAATAAACAATAACAAATATTACAACTCATTATGACACATCAACAAGCAGTCATCCTACTGCACATGTTGCAGTAGAATAAGGGTCGTAATCGTAAACACTTGACTTAACTATAGCACATATAATTTTAGTTAATAAGAATTAATTTTAGCTTGATTGTGAAGGAGTCTATAAGGTATTATTCTTGAATCTATTCCTGAAACCAAACCAGTGATAAGTAACAAATCATAAGTTTGTGCTAAAGGAAACAAAGGCTTGCCACTGACAGAGTTAAAACCCATGAGGCCTACCAATTCAACATGATAACCCCTTGCCCAAATGGCAATGTGGAATCTTGAAATTTCATCATATTCAACAGAAGTATAATTTTACTGTTTGGTTTGTTTTGTTTGTTTATTTGTTTGGGTTCAACAGCAACACTGACACACTACTGGTTACACCATACCGTTTTTGTTAGGTGTATTCTATCATGTTTGCTGCATATATAATGCATACACTTTACTGTATAAAGTGACAATAAATACTTAAATAGTGAACAAAATATTACAATTACAAATATAACAAATGTCTTGACCTTTTTACATATTTTTTTTTAAAAATCTTTGCCTTGCTTGCCAAGATTAACTGTTTATGACCTGAATTTTAGACAGTAGTATACATGAAAGAGATTTAATTTAATTTATTACATGCTTTTCGGTTGTTTATAGAAATATATAAGTGATATTAAACTAATAATTTCACTGTTTTAAACTGTGAAATTATCAATTTGATAATTTCACTGTTCTGAATTAAAGCCCACCTTACGTTGTTTCAGTGAAATACCAGCATGCACAGTGCTGGGAACCAACTTAATGACGAGACGCTGTAAATGATGTCGCATTGTTTTATTATTTGGCGCGCTTTTCATTCAGTTCAAGGTTTAAAGTCATTTTAAAACGTTTCTTTGCATATAATAAAAAGAAAATTTGTTTAGTTTAGTGTAAAATCGAAATATACTTCACCTTGTGAACACCAAAAGTTCATAATATACCTTTTGGTGCTCACACGGTGAAATATATTTTGTTCTTACACTGAACTTAACAAATATCCTCTATTTATTCAATTGATTACCAAATATCAATTCCACATACAGGCAAAAAATTATGCGACCCGAATTTGGATGGTTAGACAAGAGCTGTCTGTAGGACAATGAACTAAACTACTGTCAGTCTAGATTGAAATACATGTAACAAAATGTTACCGCTGTATGTTCAGGTATATGTGGGTTGGGTAATATGGTGAAGTTTTACCTGTCAACAATCTGATCTCAGGATGAGCTTTATATATCAGAACCCCATTAAAACGAAATTTTGAGTCATTGTACCCAGAGCATTACAACAGGGTTTCAGCGCATTTATGGTTGTTTACAAAATGGTTGTTTACAAAATGTATATCAAAATCATGTTTCACCAACAACTGTGGACTCTTATCAAGTCTCTTTGTATCTTGAATTTCAAATGATTAGATGTTTTACCTCGGGATAAACAACAGCTAAAAGTTTGTTTGTTTTGTTTGTTTGTTTCATTTTAAGCCTTTTCCCAACAGTATTTCAGTCATATAGGTGGGTAGTTTCCTAACCATCGTTCCTGGAGAGTTACACCAGTACTAGACTACCTTCCTCCGTGCTAAACTACCAAATTGAATTTCAAATTATGTTTTACTTCGGGATAAACAACAGCTAAAAGAAGTTATGAGGAGCTGCCCTAAAATAAGTCAACCTTTGTATATATACACATAGTTCTTGGTATAAATGTGACAACTACTCACAGATCCATAGCAATGTTCACTCACTACACATAATTATGAAAATACATAACACAAATTTAACACTGGGATATATAGAATGACTGCTATATTATGGTCAAGGTTACAGTTATGAGACAAACAGAATGAAACAGACAAACAGAGATCTGCCAAGGATGCGATTTTGCGCCATTGCCCCTAAAAAAATGAGAATGGCGCAGGAAAATCGGCAGCAAAGGGCCATGGTCGCATCTAAAATCTGTGCCAGACTTATAAGAAAACAAAACTGTCTGCTAGCTTATTTAGTCATCCAGTCAAAACTGGTACTAACAGATTTCCCCTGTAATTACGCATATTCTTGAGTTTATCCATTCCCCTATAGCTTTTGTCCATGTTATCTACTAACCGCATTTCTTCTCATAATCCCTTTCCTACAAAGATACTCATTTCTACTACGTAAATTTAATTCAATAAAACAAACAAACAAATTTTACAACTACTTAATATTTAAAATGATTATCGGTAACTGAAAAAAAAGTGTTGCTATTTTAAGAAATGCTGTAAGTTACAGTATAATCTGACAGGTGTAAAACTTGATCACCCCTAAGGTCACTCAAGTTCTAGCAAGCTTTGGCTGATTTAGTGTAAAAAAAAGATGTAAATTTCGTCATCAGAATATTTGACAGGGTACATTGTGCGTGACTTTTTTCATGATCAAAAGGTCTGTCGGCAAGTGTCTTTGATGTGTGCTGTCTACACAGAGGCATACAAGGGGCAGTAAAATTCGCCAATATACAGTGTTAAGGGACATTTGGTGCAAAGTAGGAACAATTAAATGGATAATGCACATTAGAAGTAAGAACCAGCAATTATGTCAATAAATTTGCATATCAAATTTTTGAGCAGCCATTTGAAAAAATATTTTGCGTGCAATTGATATTAGTTAGAAAGTTACCATGTAGACATAATTTTTAATTATTGGTTAAGTACTGAATCATAAGTGAACCACTTGTGATAAAATATGATGAAAGTTTTATTACCAGGGAAATTCAATTATCTACAAACTTTTTAACAATTATTTAAGTCAATGTTTATTTATTTTCCCAAGGCCCATACTTTGGTAAAAATGGCCCATCATTTTCAGACCAAGTGGGCCCAGGGCCCAGTACTTCCAAATTCTTGGCAGATCTCTGAGACAAACAAACACTGACAAACAGAATGAAACAGACAAACAAACAAACAGAAAGAGGAAGACCAAAAGTATGTTCTCCTGATCTATCATTATAATCACAGCAAAAGCATGTCTCTTAACTTTTCTATCTCCTGCACTGCCCCTCACATGGGGAGAAAGGGAGGGAATTGGGGCAAGGGTTAAAAACTGACTGGTCCATTAAATTACTTCATTAACATGACAATGCAAGAACAAAGGAAATGAACATGTATGTACCTTGTCTTAAGTATCTTTTAACAATCAGTTCATTCTGCTGCTGATCTCGACCACCGATCACTAGGAAGTTCTCCGAACTTATAAACCATAAAAACTTCTCAAACCTATAAAAACAAAACAATATAATTACTTTACTACATTGGAACATTTTATTCACAAATTAAAGTCCAACATATAATAATGCCTGAATCTGATGCAAATACATGTTTTTCAGTTTATCTGGTGATTGTTTGGTGCTTCTCTTACCTTTTTTGAATAGATTAGAGTGCAACTACATTTGTAACGTAAAAATTATTAAAGGTTTAGAAATTAGGTAAACTGGAGCAACACAACTGGCCAGATTGTGAGTTTGGACAGTTATGAAAATACTAGGAAATAGGTTGCCCATGTACAATGACTAAATTCGAAACATTCCAGCCATAGTTTTCTAGCCATTGACTCACATAATTGGTAATTTTATTACAAAAACTTGCCAAAAGTGGGTATATGGAAGTGTTCAATTATGGAAAAATCAACAGAAACCATTTTGACATTTAAGGCCCATGTGACATTGACCTTTGACCTAATGACCCCAAAATCAATCGAGGTCATCTACTACTTATGACCAATAACTAGGTGAAATATGAAGACTTTGTGATGAATACTTTTCAAAATAATCAGCAGAAACCCTTTTGACATTTAAGGCCCCTGTGACCTTGACCTTTGACCTCAAAATCAACAGGGGTCATCTACTAGTAATGACCAATCACTATGTGAAATATGAAGATTTTGTGATGAATACTTTTCAAGATAATCAGCGGAAACCATTTTGACATTTTAAGGTCCCTGTGACCTTGACCTTTGACCTAGTGACCCCAAAATCAATAGGGGTCATCAACTAGTGATGACCAATCACTATGTGAAATATGAAGACTTTGTGATACATACTTTTCAAGATAATCAGCGGAAACCATTTTGACATTTAAGGCCCTTGACCTTGACCTTTGACCTAGAGACCCCAAAATCAATAGGGGTCATCTACTAGTGATGACCAATCACTGTGTGAAATATGAAGACTTTGTGATACATACTTTTCAAGATAATCAGTGGAAACCATTTTGACATTTTAAGCCCCTGTGACCTTGACCTTTGACCTAGTGACCCCAAAATCAATAGGGGTCATCTACTAGTTATGACCAATCACTATGTGAAATATGAAGACTTTGTGATAAATACTTATCAAGATAATCAGCGGAAACCATTTTGACATTTAAGGTCCCTGTGACCTTGACCTTTGACCTAGTGACCCCAACATCAATAGGGGTCATCTACTAGTTATGACCAATCACTATGTGAAATATGAAGACTTTGTGATAAATACTTATCAAGATAATCAGCTGAAACCATTTTGACATTTTAAGGTTCCTGTGACCTTGACCTTTGACCTAGTGACCCCAAAATCAACAGGGGTCATTTACTAGTGATGACCAATCACTATGTGAAATATGAAGACTTTGTGATACATACTTTTCAAGATAATCAGCGGAAACCATTTTGACATTTAAGGCCCTTGACCTTTGACCTAGTGACCCCAAAATCAATAGGGGTCATCTACAATTTATGACCTATCACTGTGTGAAATATGAATACTTTATGATACATACTTTTTAAGATAATCAGCGGAAACCATTTTGACATTTAAGGTCCCTGTGACCTTGACCTTTGACCTAGTGACCCCAAAATCAATAGGGGTCATCTACTAGTTCTGACCAATCACTATGTGAAATATGAAGACTTTGTGATAAATACTTTTCAAGATAATCAGCGGAAACCATGTGGTCTACCGACGGACAGACCAACGGACCAACAGACAGACAGACCGACATTAGCAAAACAATATACCCCTTCTTCTTCGAAGGGAGGCATAAAAAAGAGCTACCAGCTATATATAGAGCCTGGTCAGACTATAAAGATAAGCTATTTGGCCTGGCTCTTTATTGATGGCAAAGGCTAATCACTTTTAGATCCATGAACTTAAGTGTTATCAGTATCAATAATACCTTACCAGTGAGTTTTCCTGACTTTATTTATGGAAGCGGCTGTAGCTACATCCTTTAATGTTTCCTTTGTCTTCTTCTCTGCTGATTTAAATGCCTGTAAAATAACACTGCAGTTTCATTTGTATGATAACCTTATATTCTTTTTTTTCTGGTTGAGTTTTACCTCATACCAACAATATAAGTCATTTGGTGACTTTCCTGTTTCCAGTTTTACTGGTGGAGGAAGACCACAGGTACCCCTATATACATTACTTCATCATTAAGCTTAGCT